ATATAGCAGTTGGGTTGGCAGGCAACAAAAAATAAATCTTGTTATAAAACCTCACAATAATATTTGCCATGGTGTGTCTGAAAGGGCTACCCATAGCTATTTCATCAATTTGCTTGTACAAAGCACAAAGATAGGCATCTATAAAACAGTTGTCTAACTACCCTTTTACATTTAGATCACATTAAGAACTTAAAGCATTTTCACCAGCAGTGTCTGAGATGAAACTTGGACATCAATTGGCAGTCTTGTACACCAGGCACCAAAATCCTTCAGTATGCAAATGTAGCCAGCATAGAGAAACTACTTCTCTATAATCAAATGTCCTGGATAGGTCACCTGACACATATGGGGGATGGCAGATTGCCCAAAAGACTTTTTTATGATACAAGACAATCAACTCATTAGCCCATAAAACATTTCAAGGATGTAGTTAAATGTAACCTGAAGACTCTTTCCATTTATGTTGAAGACTGGGAAACTGTTGCTGGTGATAGATCTGGGGTATGATGAAACAATTTTAAGCAAAAGAGAATTGAAGATTCCAACAAAAAGTGCACCATTAGGAAGGGAGAAATAGAATCTGATCCAGAGCTAGTAGGACACCAACACACTTGCAGAATTTGTGGAACAGTCAACCTCTTGGCAGCTGGTTTAACCAGTTACAAGAAATCAGACCAGAGAGGCCAGGTGCAAAGTTATTTGTGAAGGTTTTGTGACAAGGTTTGTAAGTCTGTTATAGGATGCAAACATCATTTGATTGTATACAGGCACATTTCCAACATAGGTAACACAGACAAACTTTATTTTTGCCATGTGTGTAAGAGAGATTGGAAAAGTGAAGCTGGGCTTAAGAATCATTTATGGGAACATAGAAGCGTGTTACCTTGGGTATAAATCATGAAAATAATGAAAATTTTGAATGAAAAACTGAAAAAAGCTACTAAGTGAATAGACTTTATACTTCTGCAAAGAAGTGTGTGTGTGTGTGTGTGTGTGTGTGTGTGTGTGTGTGTGTGTGTGTGCAAATATATAGAAAAATAAGAAAGAACTGTTAGCTTAATAATCCAAAGGTCTTTAATATTTTTGTTTTTATATTTAAAAGACAGGGCTTAATACATAAGTATTTTTGAAATATGAGAACTCTTATTTAGTGATGGAATCATATTTTTTTAAATAATTATAATATATATATATATTAAAGACATTTTTATGTTTAACATTCTTTTTATAGATACAAGTATTTATAAATGTTTGTTTATAATAAACAGTATTAAATAACATTTACCGGCCTGAATTTAATACTGTTTATTATAAACAGAGCATTTACTTAAATACTTGTATCTATAAAAAGAATGTTAAACATAAAATGTCTTTAATAAAAATTGTCGGATTTTCTTAATGTATATATATATATATATATATATATATATATATATGAGTGTGTGTGTGTGTATGTGCAATTACAAATATTTACATATTAACGGCTTTGTTTGTGGTTGTGGGCAAATGTGTGTGAGAGATAAAAAACTATATTGCATTGTAACTACAATTAGTAAGACTACGGCTCATTAGTTAAGTAGTTTGAAAGCCAATTAATGATTTGTTGGTTTGTAAATACTAATGACTTTCTCACAATTATGTAGCCCAGAACTTAATGAAGGAAATTTGAAGTCTCATTTAACAATCGCATTTTAAACAATAAAATACAAAAGTGTGTTTGTGTGTCTGTTCAGCACACTACTTCAATCTTCTTGTGTTATGTCTCTTCAAGGCATATGTGATCATTGCTCTTAACAAATTTCCTGTCCTTTGTAGCACTTAAAAAAATTTTGTCTTTTTCTTATCTTTACTAAGCCTGCTTTTACCATCCATTTAATCAAGTTCATTAGGTAAGTTATGTATTTTTCAGCCCTCTTGCTGTCAGTTTGTTTTGTGAGTATCAAATTTTCCAAGCCCTTTTTTCTCATTATGTATTGATGTTAAAGATGTTTTGATGTTTTATTGTGGCAGTCAATCAGCAGCATCAGATATAAATCCAATTTTTTTTCAATTTTGTGCTTTTCTGACACCTTTTTTGATTCAGTGGAGTTAGCTGGGACATTCCTGAGTCTATCACAACATTCAATTTTCTATATTCCTGCCTTTGTAACAAGATATTCTTTATTTGTTATTGTGTTCCCTTTTCTATAAATATTATAACAGTAATTGTTCAGATCAGCTCTTTATTATGCTACCTATGCTTTTTGAATTTAATCGCTGTACTCGACTGGCATCTAGATCTCATCAATTTACAATTGAGCTAGCTAGATGTAACTAAATTCTATGCTAGCAGTTTCTTTTCTCACACTTCTCGCTTGTGGAACTTTCTTCTGGCTCCATGCTCTACTGTCCTTCTGATTACTCTTTCCTCTTCCAAGTCATTATTAATGTTTCAGTTCCTAATTCTTCCACACCCATTCTTCACAATCCCTATTCTGCCATCCATTTAGACAATTTTGTTATATAGGTTACTTTCTACATTCCTTCATCTCGCTTTCGATATATCCTGTGAGTGTAGTTTTAAGAAATGAGTACTGAACTCTGTCATATCTATTCTGTATGACAGTGAGTGCTGGACAATTTCTCCATATTGGAAGAGGAGACTTGAGGCAACAAAGATATCATTTGATAAAAGGACACTGAGAACACAGTTGATAGAGCTTGTGATAAGTTTTAAAGAAAATGGAAACAAAAAGAAAATTACACTGAAAATCAGAAAGAGATAGTTCTGAGAGACATAATGAGAAAAGATGGCATGGAAAATTTAGCACTCATAGGATGTATTGATTGCAAGATGGACAGAGTAAAGCAGTAAGTTTGTGCAAATGGATGGTAGAACAGGGAAGAGAAGTGATAGTAAAAACTGAACATTACTGAGAGTTATGAAGAATAGGAAATTGTGGAGATCCATGTTCGCTCATGTCCTGATGGGAAAACAGCAAATTGAAGAAGAATAAGCAAAGCAAAAATATTATAAAACAAAGAAAAGAAACAAAAGATATGCCATATCTAAACAAGTACAGAAGTTTAAATATCTAAGAATTGTTTTAACAGATGACGGAAAACATTAACCTGAAATCTGAAGGTACATTGGAATAGCAAAAGATGCTTTCCAAAAACTAAACATATTAATAGTGTTATGGGATCTTACCCATAATAATAATAATGGACTATTCCATACTTAATAAATACTGCACCTCCACAGTAGGCAAGGAGTCAGTAGTTCAAGTCGAGTCAGTAGTTCAAGTTGAGTCAGTAGTTCAAGTTCAAGTAGTTCAAGTTGAGTCAAGAGTCGAGTCAGAGGCAGTCTGAAACAGAGTCGTGTTCAGACAATTACTGCAAGACATTGGAATAGTGATACTGGTCAAGACTACATTGTTCTCTCTACTAAACCTGATTGTTCATACTAACACTTCTACTTCTCTGTATATATTCCTGTTTGTTATTCCATACCTGTGTTCAAGTTCTTCTTTATTGGTTCTACCTTGGACTATCACTGTGGTACAAGGAACTGGACTATAACAAATAAGAAACAGGAAAATTTTATTAGGAACAAAAAAAACAATGCCAAAGTGTTATGCCTAAATATCATAAATGCTGGAGAATTTCTTCACAATGGAAGTGAAATCTTGAAACAACAGAGATGTTTCTCGACAAAAAGGATGCTGATAATATAATGAACAGAGCATGTGAACAATGAGGAAGTTTAAAGTATAATGAAAACAAAAAAGACACTTATGCTTAGAATCAGAAAGAGATATTTGAAATTTTCAGAGCACATAATGAGGAAAGAGGGCTTGGAGAATTTGACACTGATATGACATATTAATGGCAAAAGGGATAGAGAAAAACAGCAGGAAATTTACCTAAGACTAACTTAACTATCTGGGAAGTGATTTAACCGATGATGGAAAATGTGATACAGAAATATAAAGGAAGATTAAAATAGTGAAAGATGCCTTTCAAAAGCTAAGCAAAGTATTAAGAAACAGGAAAATTTTGTTTGAAACAAAAAGAAAAGAGTGTTGAACTGCTATGTCATATAATTCCTCCTATATGACAGCGAATGCTGGACAATTTCATAAAAGGCAATAGAGATGTAGTTCTACAGAAGGAGACTGAGAATACAATGGATGGAACATGTAAGCAATGAGGATTTTTTTATGTTAAAATGTACAGGAAAAGGTTATTTTTTACTTAAATATATTTTGGTATTATGTCTCATAAATTTATCTGTACATCAAACTAATTCTGTTTGATTATCTTTTTATCTATCTTAAATATATTTTATCTATTTATGTTCTCATAATCTTTTGTCCATTTTTATCAGGGTAGAATGGGTAAACAATATTTTATATTTTAATTTTACCAGACATGTTGTTTGACACAATTCACTCTGTCAGAAATTTGAAAATAGATTCCATTCATGCTGGAAGCTCATCATTTGTATTGACAATGCAGAGGCAGAAAGTGATGTTGGTAATTAGAAGAAATGGTGATTTCATTGAAATAAATTCATCCTCCCCCTATAGACCCCAAACAGATTTCAAGATATTTTTGTGTAATTTTCCAGAAGACCCTATGTCAACAGGATATCATCTGTTAAAATGAGATGTCATGGTGTTATTTGACCAAATCACCCATTACATCTGAGCACTAATTTTGCAACCCCCTTGATTATTATTTAGTTGATGACAAAGCTACTTGTAACACCAAAGATGAACTGAAGGCACAAGGAAACGGTCCAGAAGAGAAGCAGGAGATTCCAAAGTCATCTGGAGGCTGTGATTTCATTGAATAAATTTACTCTATGTGATATTTGTGTAATTTTTGTGTATATCTGTTGTGTGTGTGTGTGTGTGTGTGCAAAATTTGTGTGTGTGTGTGTGTGTGTGTGTGTGTGTGTGTGTGTGTATTTACAGATATGTGCATATTTAAATGTAACTCTGTTATGTACTCAGACATACGTATCATATCTATCTATCTATCTATCTATAGCGAAAAAAATATTTTAAATAAATTAATTTATAATATATATATATATATATATATATATATATATATAAATATATATATATATATATATAAAGAATTTCTTAATTGGTTACTATTGTATCCTTTTCTATTTTTTGCTTTGTCTACTGATTATTTTAGTCTTTTAATTGCCTTAAGTAATATTTAATCTTTGCAATTTAAATTAGCCCCTTTGGATTATTATTAAGTGTTTCTAAATCAAAAGATTAATTCTGAAATTTCTGAAATGTTTTTGATCTTCTTGGCAGAACTTTTAAGAGTTTATAAAATAATGTTTAGCAAAATGGAAACAAGCACAAAATAATTCTCTCATTTAGTAAATACACATTAGGCAACTTCTCTGGTAAAATATATGCTTATTCAAAGACTTCTGAGAAAAATTTATATTTGGCTGTGCAAAGTTAGTGATGTGGAAGCTTTTATCCTTTTAGGGGAGCAATAAGGTTCATGTCAGTATTCTGATATTTATTCACTTTCTTATGAATGTAACTATGGTTTTATTATACTAAATTTCACTCATTACAAGGTTCAGGTGCCACTCATGGTAGAGGGTTACTGAGTGGCTCATTTTTTTAAAAATCATTTCACCCCCAAGCAATGCGGAAATGCCACTAATATGTATGAGGCTACAGAGAGTGGAAGTGAGAGAAAAGTCACATTTATAGGAAACGACAAAAGCTGAACAGATTCAAGAAGATAGAAAATGCCAATTGACATTGAAATTATATTTTTGAAGATTGTAATTATCAGGGAAGCAAGGAAATGGAAAGGAGATTCACAGGTAGGAAGTGCGAGGAAAGAAGCTATTGTAGAAGAAGTGGCGGTTACATTTAACTATTTCAGCAGTAAAAGGGTGGGACCTAGATGCTAATATATTAGCACGCTTAAATTCATGTTGTTGGGGCACCAGAGAAAAAAGCTCATCAGAGCAGTTGCCATATAAATATTTGTAGAAAAGACAGAGAGAAGCCACATCATATCAGTAAGAAAGTGACTGATGTCAAGATGCTTGGTTAGAACTGATTACACTACGAATCCTTCAATGGATTCTAGCAATGGATTCAATACAGTCTTTCCACTTCATGTCAGATGAGAATGTTAACATGAGAACTTACAACAAGTCACTTTCCTGGAGGTTGGCATCAGCCATGTTGATGGAAGGCAACAAGGGGCCTCTCAGATGAGTAATAGAGAGAAGTTCAGTTTTGGAGGTGTTAAAATTAACAAGCCATCTTTTGCTCCAGTTAACATTAAGCTTGAGTTCATTTTGAACATCAACTGCCATTTTGATTCTCTCAGTAATACTTGTATCAATTCTGCATCATTGACAATTCTTTTGTACCATTTATCAGTATATTCCTATAATAAAATTATTAGTAATACATTTACATTATATTCTTGGGGCTTTGAAAGGATGCATTGTCTCTCCTTGAATTTGGAATGCCATAAATTATACTAACATTTGTTTAACAAGTCATAAGCATGTGAAATGAACCAATGAAAATCAAACAGCACTAAAATAAAAATGCCTTAATTTCTTTCTTTTTTCTCCATTTCTCATTCTCCAATGAAGCTTTACTAAAAGTGAAACATGTTAGATTGATAAATGTTTCTTATTTGTTCTTTATCTTATAATTATATATATAACAGCTTTATTCTATAAGTAATACTTGCATTCATTCCTTACTATTTATAATCCCATTCAATGGATTTCTATATTAAAATTATTAGCAATGCATTTGCATTATATATATAATAACCTCATGCTATATGTAATGTTAATGCATTCCTATATTATACATATAATAGTCATAGTCTGTTAGTAATACTTACATTAGTTGCTGACCAGTCATAATCACATTCTTATTGATATTCAAAGCTTTACTTATAATAAGAAAATGATTGGCAAGTCATATACATTTAAATGAATAAATAGCAAATTCTGTCTGTTCATTTGTGAATCTGAAACCTCTTTAACCCTGACTACTATTGCCCTACTTAGACATATTATGTCTTTTATGAATCAGGATGTGTTCCCTGCATTGAAAATCTGCTTTTCATCTGGTGCTTGGACATCCAACACTGGGATTTATGTATGGATGAGGTGGGAACAATTAAAAATTCATATTTTAAAATAACTGAAAGAATTAGTGATTTTAAAAGCTTTTAATCTATATTGAGATTAAAGTATCACAAGATCTTTGTGAATTTAAAAAATTTTGTTTTAAATTCAGTTTAAAATATCTCAAGAATTGAGGAATGCCAAGGAATATGAATAAAAGTGAAAGGTTTCATGACATTGAAATTTTTTTGAGTTTTTGATTTGAAGAACTCAAATCACTTGAAGTTCCATGGAGTTTGTGATCTGAAGAGTTCAATTCAATTGAAGTTCCATGAAGTTTCTGATTTGAAAAACTCAATTTTTAACCTGAATTGGAATTTCAGCCCAAATTGAAGTTTTCGTTCAAATTGAAGTTTCAGCCCACATAAGACTTTCAATGTAAATCAGCATTTTGGTCAAAATTAGATTTATAGCCTAAATCAAATTTAAAGAGATGTTTTGAAGTTCCATAGAGTGAACTGAGGAATTCAAAGTTATTTCTTCAAAATTATCACTGCTGTTTCCTAAGCTGTACCAGAGGTTCCTTTAGTTTTGGGCTAAATGCCTAAATAGCCCTCCACAGGAGGTAGCTTAAAAATCTGCACAGAGTGCAGCTTTTAAGTCAATAATAGATATAATATAATAGCCATATTCTCTTAGCAATTCTTGCTTTAACTGCTGAGTATTAATAATCTCTTTCTTGTTGGTTTTCAGTGCTATTCTTTAATTAAAAAAACATTACCAATGCATATACATTATATATATTCTGTTTGTATTGTTTGCATTGATTCCTGACCACAAACAATAACATTTTTCCTGCTTTTCAATGCTCTACTATAGAAAAATTATCATCAATACATTTACATTATATATGTAATAGCCATATTCTTTCAAAAATTCTTGCCTTATATCTTGACCATTGAAAAACCCTTTCTTCCAGTTTTCAGTGCATTATATCGGTTAAATTATTTGCGCAGCATTTACATAAAAGATTTCCGAAAATTTTTCCAAGTTACTTTGAATTGAAAAAAAAGTATTGCTTATCTATAATATCCTGAGTTTGCTGGTAATGTTTGTATTAGTTCCTGGCCACTTCGTTTCAATAAAAGTCTATAGCAATGTATTTACATTATGAATATAATAATCTTATTTTGTCTGTAATGATTTTATTGATTCTTGACCATTGGCAATCCCTTTCTTCTTGGTCTTCAATGCATTTTAGTAGATGATCATTAGCAATGCATTTACATTATCAATATAATAGACTATTTTATAAGTAATGCTTACATTCAATCCTCACCACTCAAAACCACTTTCTTTCATATTTTAGATACATTCCTATAATAAAATCATAATGCATTTCCATTATTCATATAATAGCCCTATTATATCAGTAACACTTGCATTAATTCCCTACACTGACAGTAGTAGAAAAGATGCAACTCACTCAACCATTAAGCTGACCCAACATAAATATGTCTTACACAAGGTAAGATGGAATAAATGGAATGATCAAGAAGATTGTATAGTGCCCAACTAACTAGAAAATCAGCATTTGAAATTAGGAATTTTATTTGATTTTGAACATTGATTCGTCATATCAGAAAGATGGCCTTAACTACTTCAGCTATGATGTAGAGAAGTTTTTACCAAGAGGAAATTATATTAAAATAATATTGGTTACGCTAAATGAGTTTTCTCGCCAGAATCTATTTTACACATTTATAAGCCTACCATTCATCCATTCATTGAATAATGTTTCCATATCTAGTTTGGTAGTTCTGCTATATATTTAGAGATTCTTGATAAAATCCAAAGAAGAATCTGTAATGTTATTGGTCCTGACATGGCATCTCAGCTTCAATCCATTTCCCACTGCTGTAACATAGAATCCCTGTGCCTTTTCTAGAGATACTTTCATGGTAATTGTTCTGATGTACCTAGACTCTATGAATTTAAGTGCAGGACTAGATTGGATGCAAGATCTCATCATTTTACAGTTGAATTGGCTAAATGTAAGTTCTATGCAGTTTCTTCTTTAGCACTTCTCAATTCTTGCTTTCAAGTTTGATCTTGAAAAAATTAAGTGCAATGCCAATCATTATCTTCTGTCTTCTTAATGCCTGTGCTTTTATTGTTCCCTCTCCTTAATATTACATTTTTTCCCATATTCTCTAACTCTCAGTAACACCTTTGTATCTTAGTAGCTTTATTGCCTTGCTTGGAGGTGAAATTTTTAAAAATAAAACTATATTTTTTATGATTTATTCTGTGTCTTATTAAATACTGTTAGTAATATTATCTGGCTCTTTATAAGGAAGATTTAAGAATTTATTAACGGAGCAGCCAGTATTACTTTCAGTTGAAAATTTTAAAATTCTCTTAAAAAATTTTCCAGAAAAATAGTTTTCTCAAGTCGAGTAACTGTTATTGTTCTTTCCAGTACTGATGGCAGTTTCCTTCCTAACCTTTTTGCTTGAAGTGATGTGAAAAGTCAATATCGTGATTATATTGTTATTTTCTCTTTGAGTTATATGTGATATCCATTTTAGTTGTTGCTGCTGTTGGTATTCCTCAAGTTATAGAGTTTCTCTTATTTGGTAAAGTTCTTTGTCAATATTTCCATAGTGCTAGTCTACTAGGTTTGAGATCAGGCTGAAAATGCAGTACTGTTGCTATATTTGGGCAGGGGATACCTCGTCTTCACTTTCCACTCTTGATAAAGTTGAAAAGCATCTCTGAGTTCTTGTTCGGAAAAATTATTTTCTACCCTCCAACCTTTCTCTCAATGTTGTGTCACTACTTTCATGGAAAGTGCTCAGAAGAACTACATTCCTTGGTTCTGCCAGGTCTAACCTTCATG